CTGTATAGTTACATGTAAATCTACATAAATACATATCTCCTAGGTATGTCCAGATTATATTAGAAAACCAATTTTTCAAAATTCTTCTTTTGAAAGAAAGGGTGATGCTGAGGGAAAAAAAATAAACAAGGAGTAATTGGCTTTGAAAGCTTTCAAATACTCCAGTGCCAAGAAAAGGGCTGCAAAAGAAGTGTCACCCTTCAGGCGCGAGGAAACCCAGCCAACTGCTCCAGAGTGTGGTCACATCTGTGAGGGGCTGGCAAGACACTGCCATTCTCCAAGGCCCACGGGCCCTCTGTCCCACGCCAATTTCCATGAAAACACTGGAAGTCAGACACCCAGAGGATCCTGGCGAAGCTTCCAGGAAGACGTGGAAGTTGGTGGCTGAAACTAGGGATGGGAGTGGGGGAGGCAGCGAGGATGGAACCTGAGGATGGAACCAGCTCAGCCTCGGGGAACGGGTCCTACAGAATCTCCAGGTGGGAGGGCGAGGGGCTGACACCGACGCCGGTCCCCTCCGAGGACAGTTTGCAGGCGGTGGCCGATCCGCACGGGGGCGACAGGCGGGAGTCCCGGCAGGACGGGGTGCTGGGCCGGCCTTCCGGCGCCACAGGCGCCCGGCGGACTCCAAGGATCAGGGTCTCCCGGGGATCCGGGATCCGGGAGGAGGAGGAGGAGGAGGGCGCTGCCTCACAGGGTGGAGGTCAAGGGCTCCGGCGGTGCTCAACTCCGGGGTGCCGGCTCCGAGGGCGCCCCACGTCCCGGCGGGCGGCTTCCCCGTCCCCCCGCCCCGGACCGGACTGTGGGTCCTGGCTGCGGGTCTGGACACTCCGCCGCCCGGGAGGGGTCGGTGCCAGGCCCCGGACTCACCGCGCGGCTTCGGCCGAGGCCTCAGCTGCCGCCCACAGCGCCGGTCCCGCCGCCTCAGGCCCCCGGCCCCACCACCGGCCTTCCCCGCTGTCCTCTAGCTGCGGGAGGGCGGGCAGATGCCCAGCTCTGACGACCAATCGACAGGCGGAAGAAGACGATGGGCTGGAACACTGGCCAATAGGAATGAAGGAGAAGTGAAGCTCCGGGACCCGGCTTCTCTAGGGGGCGGGGACTGTTCAAATAGACAAACCACGCGGCCAGTGGCAGACGAAAGGAGGCTCTGGGCTACTCGAGAGAACCAATCAGTCGTGAGTTGACTTCAGTCACTTCCATGCACACATCCGGTCCGTCGTTACTATAGTTCCCCCCGGCCCTGGGGGTGCGGCCCTGTCTAGTCCGCTGTCTGGGTACCGGGCTGGGACTGAGCGGTGGGAGGCGGAGGTTTAATTATGAGAGTGTGAGCCACAACAGGAGGGAAAGACGTAAATTTTCGGGTTCATGGGACCGTGCTTTCTCTTTTGTTAAATATAACATGTATGTGAAAAGTTTTTTACTTAGATTTACTACTTTCCCAAAATTATCGAGTGTCCACATTACCTTGGTAGGCACTGTTGTAGGGGTTAAATGCTACTGTATGTAAAGTACCTCAAACACTACATGACACATGCAGAGTCAATAAATGCTGTTATTGTTCTTTCTGAACATTTCCTACAAGGCAGGTTGTATTGTCCCCACTTTATATTTTATCCTTGAGTAAAATGACATATATTATAGAAGGATTGGGTCATAGAAGTGGTAAGGGAGGAGTTAAAAAACATCTGCTTCTTCCTCGTGTCCCATTTGGCTGTATTGGTTACTTGGGTTTGCAAGTACAAGTATGTGCTGGGTGCTGAAGTTGCAAATTAACCAGCTAGCTGGTAAGGGAGGGACCATGCCTGTTTATACAGAGATGGGTCTGTGGCTATTGTGACCTGTGAGTTATAATGCTCTGTCGTGAAATTCTTAATGATTTTTAAGAAGGGGCCACACGTTTTTAATTTGCACTGGGTACCAAAATTATGCAGTCAGTCCTGTGTACATGTGTACATATATGTTATATTTTAGTATAACCTTCATTGATATAAAGGATGTGTAGGATACAACTTACAAATAATAAAACACATAATACTTTAAAAAAAATGTTTTTATTGCTTTTATAGAGAGAGGAAGGAAGAGGGAGAGATAGAAATATCAATTGGCTGCCTCCTGCAGGCCCCCTACTGGGGATTGAGCCTGCAACCCAGACATGAGCCTTGACTGGGAATCAAACTGGCAACTTCTTGGTCCATGGGACAATGCTCAACCAACTGAGCCACACTGACTGAGCCACAATACTTTTTATTGTAAATTCCATATAGCCAATTGATTCTAACAGGATTCTTTTATATATAATAAATATCTCGTATAGCCTCTCTATAGTGGCAGTTGACCAATGAGTATAGTTCCAACATGAATGTTGGTTGATATTTTCTTTTATGTTAATGAGAAAAGGATAAGGGGAAAGTGAGACAATTAAGAGATACCTTGAAATTTCACTAGTTTGTCAATGACATGAAAACTTCTTTGCTAAACTGGATAATAATTTGCTAATATTGGAAGAATAGCCAAAACCGGTTTGGCTCAGTAGATAGAGCATCAGCCTGTGGACTGAAGGGTCCTGGGTTCGATTCCGGTCAAGGGCATATACCTTGCTTGCGGGCACATCCCCAGTAGGGGGCATGCAAAGGCAGCTGATCAATGATTCTAACGCTCTCTCTCTCTCTTCCTCTCTGTAAAAAATCAATAAAATATATTTAAAAAATAAAATAAAAAATATATATTGGAAGAATATTTCCTTATATTTTGCTGCTATTCAAAATGTAAGGGCTATAGAGTTGACATTTTTTTTATTTTTATTTTTATATTTTATTGATTTTTTACAGAGAGGAAGGGAGAGGGATAGAGAGCTAGAAACATCGATGACAGAGAAAGATCGACCAGCTGCTCCTGCACACCCCCCACTGGGTATGTGCCCACAACCATTGTACATACCCCTGACCAGAATCGAACCCAGGACCTTCCAGACTGCAGACCAATGCTCTATCCACTGAGCCAAACCGGTTTTCGCTAGAGTTGACACTTTTAAGTTTAACCTGCAAGATAAACTTTTTTTTTAAGTTATTGTAGTCTCAATGAACAAAACTATTATCAGGCATTTGTTGATTTGCATGGCATAAATATTCCCACTATGGCAGATTCCAAACTACCAATGAATGTCACTGAATGAAAAGCTGGCAAGAGATGTAAATGAGCAGTAGCATCTTATTACATAGTATTTCCACAACGCAGATGCAACAAATGTGAACAGCACAGCCAGTGTTGCTCAGTGGCTGGGCATGGACCCATGAGCCGAGAGGTCACTGGTTCAATTTCAGGTCAGGGCTCATGCCCAGGTTTTGGGTTTGATTCTCAGTAGGGGATGTATAGGAGAGAGCTGATCCACGGTGTTTCTTTCTCATGGATGTTTCTATATCTCTATCCCACTTCCTTCCTCTCTCTCTAAAATCAATAAAAACATTAAACAAACAAAAACAAATGTGAAAAAAAAACACAAACACAAAAACAAATAGGAACAACCCAAAGAGCATAAATGATAAAATGTAGTAATGAGCTTAGAGTATTAGTTACTTTTATTTTCATACAAGGAGCCCAGTGCACGAATTCATGCACCTTGAAAGGAACTGTGGGCTGCGAGGTTTTGGTGGGCTCAGGCGTGGGTCTCAGCCCATCATCTGTGCCCCCACCTGGCCCCCTGGTTCCCTGTCTGCCAGCAGCCCCACTCCCATCACTGCCACTCCCATGAGCTGACAGTGCTGATCCTGCTCATGATGCAGAGTGATTTGGGGCCAGCACCAGCAACAGGTGCAAGTAAGACTGGTGCTATCAGCAGGTGCAAGTGCCAGGCAAGACTGCAGCTCGTAGGAGCAAAGAATTTTCAATAATTGCCAGAGGCTCGTCCTGATGACAGCAACCAGCACCTGCCTTAGTCTGGTGGCCCGGCTCACCTGCTCCGCTATCCCACCTGCTGCCTACACCTGCCATGTTCTGCATGCGCCCCCTGGTGATCAGCACACATCATAGCAACTGGTTGTTCTGCTATTCGGTCTATTTGCATATTAAGGTTTTATATATATATATAAATTATATAGATAATTTAATTAACTGTAAGTTTGTGTAGTTTGATTTTTAATAATGGTTGTGCTTAGTGACTGGCTCACAAAACTATTGATACTAAAAATTTAAACAACCAATTCTCCCCAGTCAGGAGCTCCCCAAGCTCCCAGAAGGAGGGCAATGAAGACACCCAGCCAGCCACCTAGTAGGGCGGAAAGGGCAGTTATTTGTGTGTTATGAACAGTCAGGGCAGTTTATGCCACTGGATGTTGCACAATAGGAAGTGAGAGTTTTTGCTGTCGTGATTATTATTAGAATTAACAATTTCTTTCTTTTTAAAAAATATATTTTATTGATTTTTTAGAGAGGAAGAGAGGAATAGAGAGTTAGAAACATCGATGAGAGAGAATCATGGATCAGCCGCCTCTTGCACACCCCCTACCGGGGATGTGCCTGCAACCAAGGTGCATGCCCTGGATCGGAATCAAGCCCGGGACCTTTCAGTCCGCAGACCGACGCTCAACCACTGAGCCAAACCGGTTTCGGCTAGAGTTAATAATTTCTTAGACATCATTTACCCTTTCAGAGCTTCGAGTTTCTCTTTTGAAAAAACGGGGATAATTATACTTTTCTTATCTCTTCAATATGCTCCCGGATTTTAGTTGGTTTTGTTAATTGCTGCGTGCAATAGTGCGCATACTGCATGAAGACAATGAATGCGTCCTATTTCGGTGCAAGAAAGCTCTTGGTAAGTCGAAAAGCCACATGCATTTGTGGTGGATTGTGTGATGCTAGGCGAGCCTCAGAGCAGCTGCAGGGCACATACCTGGGAGAGAGAGGGCTGCCCCGCCTCCTGGCTCCGCCCCGCCCTCCGGGCCCCGCCCCTCCCTCCCTCCTGGCCCCGCCCCGGCCCCTCCGGCCCGGCCCCCCAGCGCCGGGGGCCCCTGTTTCCCGCCGGCCCCCAGAGGCGGGCGCACAAGATGGCGGTGCCGGTAGCTCCGGGGAGGTGGTCTCCTCTCGGCTTCGGGCTCTAGCGCCGCGCCGGGCCCGGAGGCGGGTTTCACGTAGGTGACTGGAGGGCCGAGCGGTGCTCCTGGGGCGCCAGGCCCGCTCGCTGCTGCCCCGGGGCCCCGCTGCCCCCCCAGCCCTGCCCCGGGGCGGAACCGAGGGAAGGTCAGGCTGGGCGCCCCTCCCCTCCCCGTTCCACCGCCGTGGCCGATCTGTGGGTGGCTCACTGTCCGCGAGAACTTCAGCCACCTGCACCTCCATGGCAGCCTCGCAGGCCCCGGGGGAGATGATCAGCATCCAGGCGGGAGAGGCAGCCCAGGCCGAGGACCGGGACCTGCTGGGGAGCGACTGTCTCGAGTGGGACAAGCCCGCGCCGCGCTCCTGGAGGCAGAAGTGCGCCTCCTACGTGCTGGCCCTGAGGCCCTGGAGCTTCAGCGCCTCGCTCACGCCGGTGGCCCTGGGCAGCGCCCTGGCCTACCAGTCCCAGGGCGTCCTGGACCCCCGGCTGCTGGTGGGCTGCGCCGTGGTCGTCTTGGCGGTGCACGGGGCTGGCAACTTGGTCAACACGTACTATGACTTTTCCAAGGGCATTGACCACAAAAAGAGCGATGACCGGACCCTGGTGGACCGGATCCTGGAGCCCCAGGACGTTGTCTGGTTTGGAGTCTTCCTCTACACCCTGGGCTGCGTCTGTGCCGCGGGCCTCTACTACCTGTCCCCTCTGAAACTGGAGCACTTGGCGCTCATCTACTTTGGAGGCCTGTCTGGCTCCTTCCTCTACACGGGAGGTAAGGACTGGCCAGTCCCTGTGCCGGAGGTCTCAGTTGCATGGACTGGAAACTGCTACTTTGTGTGGGAGTGTCAAAAGAGTGGGATCCAAGTTCTCTTCTCAGGCCACTTAGGTGAAATCTATAGTCTGTGGGTTATGTGGATTATTTGGAAAACAAGAGTGGGTTGAGAAGATCTTGGCTTGGCTTATGGATGTTAGAAATTACATGTAATTTCTAACGTCCATAAGCCAAGCCAGGATGTTAACATATATATGTTAACATCCATACCATATATATATATATAATTTCCAAATATATGGAAACTTTTTGTATCTAATTTCTTTTTGTTGGCCACATCTTATAATGCCACAGTTCCAGATTTTAGTGGAATTAACTTCGAAGCGCTCACAACTGTACAGCTGATTAAGGTGGTGATGGTTGTTGGCTAAGCTCTGTTTATTGAACAGTTATTATGTGCCAGCACTGTTCCCTGGGAACACAGCAGTCCCAGATCCCTGCTCTTGTGAAAGTTACTTTAAATATGACGAGGAGAGACAGAAAGCAGAAATAGTAAATTGTAGTTAGGTTGACCAGTGTCCTGGTTTGCTCAGGACTGAGAGGGTCCCCAGGATGTGGGACTCTGGGTGCTGAAACCAGGGAAGTCCCTGGTAGGTTAGGCTGAGTTGGTGCCCTGATGACAGTACATGAAAAGATGACTGGTGCTATGGAGAGAAATAGGAAGTAGAGCCAGGAGGGGGATGCATCAAAAAAGGTAACGGCAAAAATCAAGGCGGTAAGAAGTGAGGGTGTTGGCTGAGCAGAGTGTCCCAAATCTTGGCATGGCGATTGCCAAAGGCATTAAGGCTGGAATGTTCCTGAAAAGTTTGAGGAACAGCATGGAGTCCAGGGTGAGGGAGAGAGAAAGTGAAAGGAAGTGAAGTAGGAGAAGTATGTTTGGGGAGGTCAGGGAGACACAAAGATTATGTAGGCCTTAATGTTTTGTTTTTTTTTAATATATATTTTATTGATTTTGTACAGAGAGGAAGGGAGAAAGAGAGTTAGAAACATCAATGAGAGAGAGTCATTGATCAGCTGCCTCTTGCACATCCCCTACTGGGGATATGCCCGCAACCAAGGTACATGCCCTTGACCAGAATCGAACCCGGGACCTTTCAGTCCCAAGCCGATGCTCTATCCATTGAGCCAAACCGGTTTCGGCAAGGCCTTAATGTTTTAAAAGAATCACTCTGGCTAAGGTGTTGAGAAGGGATAAAGGGAGTGAGCAAGGACACAAGCGAGGAGACAGAGGAGAAGGGAGCTGTTGAGTAACCAGGCAGAGATGTTTGGTGGCTCGGATCAGGTTGGCAGTGGAGAGGAAGAAGTAGTTAGGCAGGGTGTGCTGACAGATGGGATGTGAGGCAGGAGAGAAAGCAGATTTAAGCATAACTCCGAGGTTTTGGCCTAAGCAACTTGAATAATGGAGTTGATTTCAGGTGAGATAGAGAAAGCTGAAGGTAGGTTTTGGGAGAGATAATTGACAGAGCCTCTTAATGTAGTAGATCTCCAAGTGGAGATGTCAAGTGGATATAACAGTGAGTTCAGGGAGAGGTCTGAGCTGGAGATAAAGATATTTGGGGATCGCCCAGAGCAGCCGGGTCGGGTGCGGCCGGGCCTGGAGCAGCTGGGTCGGGAGCGGCAGTGACCAGACCCGGAGCAGCTGGTTGTGGAGCGAACCAGAGAAGCGGAGGCCGGGCCCGGAGCAGCCAGGCCCGGAACAGCCCACTCCTCGCCTGCCCCCGCCCCCGCCCCCGCCCCAGGGCTGCCTCTCAGACATGGCTGGAAACTTTTGCGGGAACTTGAGGGTCTACTGAATCAAGTGATGAAGGCTTAGATCTGGATGTGTTGAGTTAGTATAGTGCTGGGGTGTTGATCTGTGAGTGCCTTGGGTGGGGCCTGGATGAAGCTGGTTGACCTATTTGGAAATGTCTTTTGTGTGAAGTGTATCATTGGGCATGTGGAGGTATTATTGATATGAGAAAATGCTAAGTAACTGATTTACTATCTGAAAAGGGATTTACTATTGGGGAAAGGGAGGGAGGAAAAGACTGAACATAAACTGTGCACCTATGGATGAGGACAATGGGGGATGGGGAGGGGGCGGAGGATGGGGTGGGAACCTGGTGGAGGGGGGAAGAAATGAGGAACCTTTGTAATAATATGAACAATAAAGATTGATTTAAAAAAAAAAGATATTTGGGGATCATTGGCACATAAAGTTGTACAACTGGGTGAGACCAGCAGATGAGGGAGTGTTGATAGGTGTGAGGGGGACCAGGCCAGCCCTGGGGCACTCTGATGTTAAGAGGTGGGGAGAAGCCCTAGCCGGCTTGGCTCAGTGGATAGAGCATTGGTCTGCGGACTGAAGGGTTGCTGATTTGATTCTGGTCAAGGGCATATGCCTAGGTTGTGGGCTCGATCCCCAGTGCGGGGTGTGTGTGTGTGTGTGTGTATGTGTGTGTGTGCAGGAGGCAGCTGATCAATGATTCTTTCTCATCATTGATATTTCTATTTCTCTCTCTCTCATCCTTTCTCTCTGAAATTAATTAAAAAAAAATTTTTTTTAAAAAGAGGTGGGGAGAAGAGAAGGAACAGTAAGGGTGGAGCGTGGTGGAGCGTCTGGAGGAGAAAGAAGGCCCAGAGACTGGTGTCCTGGCAGCCGCTTGTAGGAAGTTCAGTGAAGGGAATGGTGGATGCTGTAACAGAATGTGTAAGGGGGTAGGGATTTGCAGAGGGAAAAGGCCCTCTCTGTGAAGGTGACACTTAAACTAAGACTTGAAGGATGAGGAGCCATCCTCGGCAGAATTGGGGTCTGATTCAGGTGCCGGATTCTTCAAGACTGAAGGAGCAGCAAATGCTAACGCACCCGAGGGGGAGAGAACTCGACCAGGATCTACTGAGAGGCCAAGGTGTTCGAGAGGGAGAATGGAGACGTAGTTGGAGAGGCAGGCGGGGGCTGGGTCACGCTGGTCTAGGGCCTCAGTCTTCTGTGCGGGTTTCTCCTCATTCCCAGCGTGCAGGCTTAGTCCTGAGGTCTCTTTCCTCTGTCTCCAGTTACTCCTTTTGTGATTTTAGCCAGTCCTATGGCTTCAGATGCTATCTGTTAAACTGGTGACTCAAATTTATCCTCTGGCCCCGATCTCTCCACTGAACTCCAGGCTCCTGCCTAGCTTCTGACTCGGGAACTTTCTTAGAGGTCTGCAGGCATCTCAGCTAAGCTCGTCTGAAATCAATTCCTTATCTTCTCCCTGAAGAAACCTGCTCTTCCACAGCTTTCCCCCGCTCACTCAGTGGCGACTTCTTCCTTTTATATATATTTTATTGATTTTTTACAGAGGAAGGGAGAGGAATAGAGAGTTAGAAACATCGATGAGAGAGAAACATTGATCAGCCACCTCCTGCACACTCCCCACTTGGGATGTGCCTGCAACCAAGGTACATGCCCTTGACCGGAATCAAACCTGGGACTTTTCAGTCCACAGGCCGTCACTCCATCCAGTGAACCAAATGGGCTAGGGCGCAACTTCTTCCTTTTAGTCCTTCACAGGCATCATCCCAACATCTTGCATCAGCTCATCAGCAAATCCTGTTGACTACTTTAAAATGCATTTGGGATCTGACCTTTGTCCATCACCTTTCACCAGTGCCACTCATCTCCCTTGAGTATTTTGGCAGGTTCCTTACTGATATCTGTGCACCCACTCTTGTCCCTGTCAGGGTGTTCTCAAGCCAGCAGCCAGAGTAATCCTGTTAGAACAGGCAGTTACATCAGTCCTCTGTTCAGAATTCTCCAATGGCTTCCATCTTTTTTTTTTTTTTTTTTTTTTTTAAATATGTTTTTATTTCAGAGAAGAAGGGGGACAGAGATAGAAACATCAATGATGAGAGAGAATCATTGATCGGCTGCCTCCTGTAAGCACCCTCCTGGGGATCAAGCCTGAAAACTGGGCATGTGCTCTGACCACATGCCTTGACCATGATTCGAACCATGACCTGGTTCATAGGTCAGCATTCAACCACTGAGCCATACCCGTTCGGGCAGTGGCTCCCATCATGTTCAGAATACAGCCCGAGGTCTTGACAATGATCCCAGGGCCATTATCTTCCCATCTTCCCCAGTCTCCCCACTCTGGTCTGCCTCTTCCTTTCCTCCTCCGCACATGCTCCAGCCCTCTGCCCTCCTGCTGTTTCTGAGACACACCGGAATGCTCCTGCCTCACAGACCCTTTGAAGATCCTGTTTCCCGGATCTTGTTCCCCTTCTATCTGTATGATTCCATTTCTCCATTTGTCAGTTGTTTAGTGAGGCCTTGCTTTCTACCCTTCTTAAAGGTACAAAACAACGCTTTTTGCAGCAGCCGATAAACAAAATTACACAAACATGCAGTACACCGGTGTCCCATTCCCCGAAACCTGCCCTATTGCTCTTCTCTGCTTTTTCATCACAGCACGTACTACCTTTTAACATGAGTAAGCACTTTGTTAGTTATCTTCCCTCTTAGACTGTAAACTCCCTGCAGTTAGGGGTTTTAGTCTCTGAACCCTTGGTGCCCAGAACTGTGTCTGGCTTGTAGTCAGTACTTAGTCTTCACCGAATGAACAAATGGGGAGATAATAAAATATATTGAGCAGAGTAATAACATAATCTCATTTTATGGTTTTTTAAACACTGTCAATTATATAGCAATAAAAGTCATACTGCGAAGTGCACAGATTTTAAGTGTTGCAGTTTGATGAATTTTGACAGATGCACATGGCTGTATAACCCAAACCCAGTCACGATACAGAACATTTCCATCACCCTTCAAAGTTTCCTGATGCTTCCTCCCCGTCAGCCCCTCTCCCCATCCCTATCCAGAGGCAACCCGTGTTCTGATTTCTTTTACGCAGATTGGTTTTGCCTGGTCTAGAACCTCACAGAAATGGAGTCATTCCTTACGAATCCCTGTGCCTGGCTTCTGTTGCTCAGCATGCGGGCTTGGAGACTTGCCAGGTTGTGATGGACATGAGCAGTTCCTTTGCATTGCTGAGTAGTGTTCATCGGATGGACATATTGCAATTTGTCCATTTTCCTGGTTATCAACACTTGACTTGTTTCCACATTTTGGCCATTATGCGTGAACATTCATGTTCAAGTGTTTGTGGATATTTGTTTTCGCTTTTCTTGGGTAAATGCGTAGGAGGGGAACTGTTGAGTCATAGGGTAGATGATGTTTATGAGAAGCTGCCAGTGTTTTCTGAAGTGATTGCAATGCTCTTTCCCACAATATGCAAGTTTCAGTTTCTCCACATTCTTGTCAACATTTTGATTCCTGTTTTAACAAATTAATTCCAAGCTGCGATGTGGAGATCGGCCCAATAGTTCACTGTGGAAAACGGGGTTGGGAGGGGTGGGCATGCCTTCAACGAAATGCCCAGGTGGGCCACATCCCTGGAGCCGGTGTGCCACCTGTTGGATACTTGGGCATTGGGCTTTCTCCTACGGGCACTGGCATTTTCTTGGGTCAGCTATCCCGTAGGAGGTTCTAGACCTTTTCCACCTGTAAAGTGGGTTTGCGGTTGGTTTTGGGGTAAGGCCTGTTGAAGTGGGGGCTTATCCTTGCAGGCACAGGTTTCTGTTCAACTTGCTCGCCTCATTGTTTTATTCGCTGATCCCAGGAGGTGTTCTTGGGTAATCTTGGGTAAGCCAGAGGTCAGGGCTTTAGAGCTGTGTTTTCTTTCATAGCCAGAGCCCTTAACTCTGCTTGGAGAGTGAGCACATCGGCCGCAGGAAAGCAGGCAGCGGGGGGGGGGGGGGGGGGGGGGGGGGAGAAGAAGCCAGATCTGCTGGGAGTGTTCCTGCCCGCATGTCCCTTGGGAGGGGGTACTGCAGCCCCCCCTTATCTGCGCTTTCACTTTCTGTAGTTTCAGTTTGCTGTGGTCAGCTGTGGTCCAAAAATGTTATATGGAAAATTCCAGAAATAAACAATTCACGTTTTAAGTTGGGTAGTGCAATGCAATCTGTGCTGCCTGCTTTGTCCCACCCTGGAAGCGAGTCATCCTTTGTCCAGCATATCCGGCTGTATGCGCTCCCTGCGCATTTGCCGTATTTAGTAGCTGCCTTGCTCATCACATTGACGGTAGAGATAGCGCAGTGCTTGTGTCCGAGGGACCTTTCTTTCACATCACAAGAGCAGCGATGCTGGCAGTCGGGATGTGCCACAGAGAAGCCATGAAGCACTGCCTTGAAGTGGAAAGTCGTGCAGATGCATATGAAACCAGCAGTGTATACAGTACACGGCTCAATACTCTCTGTGGTTTCAGGCATCTGCGTGGGTCTTGGACGCGGATAAGAGGATTAGTAGTCCTCTAAACTTGGGAGCGATTGCAGGAGACATGATTTGCTCATTTAGAACTGGAGCTGATGTTCTGCTTGAGAGAACTTCCTCCTTGAGGGCATGTCCTCAGACAACCAGGTCATCTGTCAAAGCGCTGCCTGGAGCACTGAGCTGGCTGCTGGGTGCTGGTGGGTGTCAGGGCCGTGCTGTGCTTCAGACCTCTGGGCGCTGCCTTCTTAGGAACCAAGGGGGGTCGTTAGGTGACAGGTGGAGGTGTTAGCTTACGCTGTGGTGGGAATAATGCTGCAATATAAGTGTACCACGTGTACACGTCAAACTTACTCAGTGTGATATGTTAGTTATATCGCAATGAAGCTGGAGGGGGCGGGGGGAGACAAACATCAAAGAAGCCCAACGACCATGTGAGGTGACCTGGCTGACTCTTGTTCTTTGGCTGCTTAGTCAGACCCTCTGTGGACCTTTGTTCCTTGTCGGCTTCGGGGATAAGGCAGCTTCCTTGTGGAGGCTGAGCCCTGTAGCTTGGCTGTGGGTGCGCAGAAATGAGTAACCTGGCCCAGCCTGGCTGTGTGGTAGGCCCAAACTGGCCCAGATCATCTGTTGATAAATCACAGAGGTGGAAGTAACTCCTAAGGGAAAGGGCTCAGGAAACAAGTGGTGGAGGTAAAGGGAGGGCCCTGGGAGCTCGGGAGGGAGGAAGGTGATGGTAACTCTGGAGGAGGGGAGGGAAAGGGGAAGGGGAGGGAGAGCGTGCTGGGTCCATATCCTAAGATTTTTTTAAAAATTATTTTTTAGCAATCTTTCGTATTTTTTAAAATGTACATATTTTTATTGATTTCAGAGAGGAAGGGAGATATAGAAACATCAATGATGAGAGGGGATCATTGATTGGCTGCCTCCTGCACGCACGTTAGACCGAGCCCGCAACCCAGGCCTGTGCCCTTGACCAGAATCGAACCTGGGACCCTTTGGTCTGCAGACCGACGCTCTATCCACTGAACCAAACGAGCCAGGGCCTTAGCCTAAGATTTTTAAGGGAGATCTTAGGGAAGGTCGCAGGGGACGACCTCAATAGGATACCCAGCAGCTTCCCAGGTGTCCTGTCAGGACAGGGTCTGCACTGTTGGTTGGCGGGCCCCAGGGCAGGGGCGTTACTCAGGGCAGCGGCTCTGAGGTCAGCCGTGGGCTCTCTGGTCATGATTGGCTGCTTCTCTGGGCCTGGAGCTGACGTACAACTGAGGCCTGGATGTCCTCTCTAGGGAGGAGAGGTCAGGGGTCCAAACCTCAGGACCAGCCATCTGCTAGGGAGGAAAGGCCACCCTGGGGGTGAGGTCCCCCCACATTGTTCTTTGCTTGGCACCTGGGGCTTCCCGCCCTGGTGACCTCCTGTGCCCGGCCCATTGTTCTGCTCTGCGCATGTCTGTCCGACTCCCACCCAGTGAGGTCTGGCGTTTCCCAACTCCTGTGGCAGTGTATGCGTGGGTCACCTCTCGCCTGGTCCGTGCTGCTTTCCTCTGAGTGGCATGTCTGTCTGACCTCGGCTCCATGTTATCGTAGCTCTGTGTTCATTCAGCCTTGTGCCAAGTGCTGGGGAGCGAGCTGTGAGCAAGCCCTGCCCTCATGGGATTGAGTGTTTGTTGGGAAAGACAGATTAAATAAGGAGAAGTGTGATGGAGTTTAGGAAAGTAGAAGTCAGGGTGCACAGGACATGTTGCAAGGGGACAGAATGTGGTGTAGGGGTGAGGGAGGGGTGAGGAATGGCCTTTGAAGTCTGGAAGGGTGAGTAGGAGTCAGCCAGGCAAAGGGCGGAGGATGGCTCTCAAGGCCTCAGGAGCTGCTAGAGGTGTGAGGGGGGAGAGCCAGGGCAGGCCAGAGGGGAGCCAGGAGAAGGATCTGGCTTTTATCCCGAGGACAATGTATTGATAAGGGTCTTTAGGTATAGGTTGGGGGGTGGGCATGGTCAGGTTAGTATTTTTATGAGGTTAGTATTTTTAAAGGATCACTCTGGCTGCAGTGTGGAGATTAGATTAGGAAAGGAGGGGAGAAGAGGTTGTTATAAGAATGGAAGCCGAGGGGTCCATCGGGGGGTTGATGTAGTATTCCAGACAGACAGTGACCACTACTTGGATTTGGAGACGGGGTGAGGTGGGCCAGAGTGTGCCCCTGGGGTTGGAGGGAACTGGACGGGTTTTCTGGAAATAGATCAGACAGGATTTGAAGTCGATTAGCAAACAGTACAGGAGGAGGAGGACTTAGTTTTAACTTAATGGGAACCAGAGAGGGGAAGCCGCTGTGTAACTTACCATTTTAGCTCTTTCACTCACTGTGCAGCTGAAGGTTTCTTTATCGGAGTTTGGGAACCCTGCAGGTCCACTGAGATTCACTGGTGTGTGTGTGTGTGTGTGTGTGTGTGTGTGTGTGTGTGTGTAAACCAGCAGATGGCTGCCGAGGTTATAGAGGAAGAGACTGGGCTGGCTAGTCCGGGAGGGCCTGGCAGGCGTGTCTTGGGGCTGGTAAAGGGAAGGAGCCGAAAACTGGACTGAGACCTTTCAGAGCCTCAGGCTCTCCCGTGGAGCTGTGTGTGGTGGGAACCACAGCTCCTGTTGCAGGGTTTAGTTGGGGGCAGCAGAAAGGAAGGGTTGGGTATGACTCTGAAACCTCACTGGGCACTAAAAGGTCAGTATTCTCTGACCCCTGTGTTCCTGGAGGGGAAGGACTGCAGTGACGGCCCCCTCGCCTCGCCTGGGAAGTCAGTGTCCAGGCCAGAGTGGCTGGTCCCTGACAGATGCACAGGCCTTGATCTCACACCAGCTCTCTGCGTTTTCTGGTCACAGGGATCGGATTCAAGTACGTGGCCCTGGGAGACCTCATCATCCTCATCACGTTCGGCCCGCTGGCCGTGATGTTCGCCTACGCCGTCCAGGTGGGGTCCCTGGCGGTCTTCCCGCTGGTGTACGCCATCCCCCTGGCCCTCAGCACCGAGGCCATCCTCCATTCCAACAACACCAGGGACATAGAGCCCGACCGGGAGGCGGGCATCGTCACGCTTGCCATCCTCATCGGCCCCACCTTCTCGTACATGCTCTACAGCGCGCTGCTCTTCCTGCCCTACCTGATCTTCAGCATCCTGGCCACGCGCTACAGCATCAGCCTGGCGCTGCCGCTGCTCACCATCCCCATGGCCTTCTCCCTGGAGAGGCAGTTCCGGAGCCAGGCTTTCAGCAAACTGCCCCAGAGGACCGCCAAGCTCAACCTCCTGCTCGGGCTCTTCTACGTCTTCGGCATCATCCTGGCACCGGCAGGCAGTCTACCCAAACTCTGAGGGGACCCGGAGCGCCCCCGTCAGCGCGCCGCCCTCTCTGAGACTGTGTGGGAAGCAGAGTTTCTCAGGAGAGAAGGTGATTTGACAGCGAGGAGCCTAAGGATGGCTTGTAAACTCCCGCCTTTTTTTTTTTTAAAATGATGACATTGTTAACGATAATGTTTTGTTCTGTTTTATGGCAAATCTTGAAATCACTGGTACCAGAAGGTGAACTGGCTGCATGGCCCTTGTTTTATTTATAATTTCCACTAGAGGGTGGTGTTAGGTCACTTTAAAGTAGTAGACTAAAGGCCCTAAGACTTTGTGAAGGAGCCACCTAGCTTGGCCTCCCGGCCTGAAAGAGCCACGTGGTAATGACCGGTGTCAGGCCCCAGGGACACCGAGAGCACCTGTCTGCCTCCGAGCATTTGGGCCCTGAAACACACAGCACGAGAGAGCCCTCAGGGACAGCCCATCGGCCTGCAGGCTGTCTGCCTAATTTGTGATTCAGAGACTCATCTGTCTTTTCGCCTCTTGCCACAGTTGAGGAAGTGTCAGATCACCCTGTGGCAGGACACCCAAGCAGGACTGGGAAGGGAAAAAAAGACCCGCCCCCAGAGGAAGCTGAGAAAATCCCTGCTTCCGGATGGAAATGGGCAGACCAGCTGCTTCCCTTTGTGGGAATGATGGGCGAAGGGGTGCGGGAGTCTGAATGGACGGCTCTCGGCTCTTTCCGTTACTGTTAGGAGCCCTGAGATTGTAGAGGCAACTGCTCCCATTGCCAGCTACTGACGGTCCACAAGGCTGCTTCGTCCTGCCCTATCGCCTTTCTTATTGCTCCTTGATGCCCAGCCTCCATTTCTATCAGGTTCCCTTTTGTGTTGCTCCCAGCCTGGCATCCTGACTATTTGGGCAGCAGCTCAGCACCTGAGTCCGGGACAGTTGCCACTTGCCACGGAGCCACAGGACGAGCAGGCAGGGACATCAGCTCCTCCGTGGAGGAATAAGCCAGTAGACCAGGGTGGGGAACGTCCCGCCCTAAATCGCTTGGCCTGCCCTGCTAAGGCATTAGGGGTGAGTGAATTAATTAAATGATTGACCAAACATAGCAGGCTCATTTTTAAGTTGGTAACTTTGTAGGGCCCACGAATGATGTTAAAAATGCCCAAATGGCCCTGGGCAGAAAGGAAGTTCCCACTGACCCTGCTCAGACAGGTGGCAGGCCTGCCAGGGAAGGGACTGCGTCCTCCTTGGAGACAGAAGCGCACAGTGACCCTGCCTCTCGCAGAGCCTGTCGCTGCCCTTGTGCAAAGATAGTTTGCACCCAGAACGGGGAATTCCAACGTGGATCAAAGTTGCTTTTCATTTCACTGCCTGGGAAGTATAATTTCTGGGCTAGTCTTGCTCAGTTGCATTTGGTCTGAGACTGAAATAGATTGAGGTCATCATGGTTACCTTTTTCTGTTGTGATGATGGCCATGATGAGAGCTATTTCAGAGCCTTAACCCTCAGAAAATGACATAGAATTAGTTCTTAATCCTGAAAATCAGGCTAATGATATGATTTGGCTCCTTGAGTTTGCAATTAGCTTACTTGGGAAAAACATATCTGGAAATTGCAGAAGTTCCTCAAAGTGGAAGGTGGTTTGGGTAGCGATCCGAACCCTCCGAGCCCAGGAACGAGGGAAGCGGCCCTTCTTCCCAGCACCATCTCTGTCTCTCGCCAGGCTGCGGCGTGGCGGTGCTCACAGGTCCTGCCTGCAGCGGCCAGCTCCTTGGGCCCCTCCTCGGAGCAGACCGTTTGGCACAGGGCTCAGCCTGAGGCTGTAGGACCAAGACATTCCGCGTCCGCAGACCAGACCCACCTTTGTGAGCGCTCCTGTTGGGGCGCCAGCCTCCGCATTGTGTTCCGGTGCAGATTTTAATGCACATTTTTATATATAAATGTTTCTAAAAGGCCAAACTTGATGCCAGGTTTTATATGCAGGTCACCATAATTTATATGATATCCCTGATTCAATGAGATTTTCTTTAGACTTGTTAATAAAATCAAATCAAAATCATGTTTCCAGTTTTTCTTTGCTTTCCTCCTCCTCCTTGTCTTATTGTCTGATTGTTAACTCTGGTTCATACATCTCTGGAGACCAGCACAGGGGCATTGGGATATTCGGTGGGGGTGGGGTGGGGTACACGATCTTTAGTGATGAGCTGGGATAGGATTGGACCAGATTTGATGGAGTCCTTAGAAAAGACAGTAGGGACCACTCAGAGCCAGTATGGATTTCCCAAGAGCCAGTCAGGCCAGATGAACCGAGTTTCCTTCTGTCCTTCCCTACTTTCCTGTTTCTTTTTCCTTGAGAGGATCTCTGTGCTGATAGATTGAGAACATGTAGTAGGTGGAGTACATTTGGTTTCAGTGAGGCATTTGACAATATGTCTTTATGAACAAAGCAGAGAAATGTGGAATGGACTGCAGTCTAGTTAGATGAATTTCTGGTAGACTGAACAAACTGTAGAGAGAGCTCACGAATCAGTGTGTCACTGCCAGCAGGCAAGGAAGCCTTTGGCAGCAAGTGTGCGCCTGCCCTCTGCCCTCTGCCCTCTGCCCGGCCAGGTTCAATACCTGTTGTTACTGATTGGAAATAGGCAGCCCAAATCGCAAGTCTTTGTAAATCTTAGAGGAAGAGCTTATAAAATGATAAATCAAAAGGCTGCTTTGATGTGTCAAAGGAAAACCTTAGCATGAATAAATATGAAGCAATATTCTTGGATCCCCAAAATCAACTGTATAACATCCAAAGGGGGAAATCCCTGGAGTGATGACAACAGATGTGGTGGGTGTGATTTTTATTAATGACTGGGATACACATCACATGCCTTTATTTCTGTGATCTGGATTTATCTAGTGGGGAGGCTGGAAATTTAACCTTAGCCACCTCTCAGGCTGGCCCCCATCCCAGGACTCCTGGCCCTCGGTGGGGCAAGAAGCCAGAGATACTGACTAGGCCCTGCTCCATTTGCTCACTATCTCTACGGTCACTTCTCTGTCCACCATGCTGGGGTTCAGCCCTGGAACCTACCCTTGCTGCTTGGACACTGCTCTGGAAGGGTTAGAATGCCCCCGACAGAGCCCTCTGCTGACACGTACCATGGGCCTGCAGGGCACTAGTCCCGGCCACTCCAGTCCCATTTCTGCCTCGTCTCTGGGAAGCACCCATCTTCTCCATGACTTACCTCGTCTGTCTCCCCTATGCACAGTGTTTCTCCTTCCCCACCCCTTGCAGGACCTTTGCACAAGGGCCCACCCAGGTGCCTTAGGAAGCCCAGTGCTGGCCCCTTACGTGGGGGGAGGAAGAAGGTGCAAACACATACTTTATTATCATCCTAACTCTTCTGTTATCCCTGCATTCAAACAAGCAAAAACCTGACCCTGTGACCTGGCCTGCAGCTCAGCTGAGGCAGTGAGCTCTGGCTTCCGTGGAGATGAACGTGATCGGAGGCGGAGTTAACAGCTCGGTGTCCAGGGCAATGAAGGCGCGGGTCCTGCCCGCCCCAGTGCTGTGGGGCCACAGGTGGGGGGCAGGACCCATTCCTGGGCACTTTTCCTTCCTTATCTCTCTCTTCTTGATAGAGCAACTATGGTGGTTGATCAAAAGCATGCTGTGGGTGCAGTGCCCTTGGCTTTCCGCAAGGTGTTTGCCAGTGTGATGTGAAATGTGGAATTGGTGACAATCCAGTTAGAGGAACTTGATTCCTACGTGCACATGCATGTGTTTTCACACCGGGAACAGCTGCAGCAGAGATTTGATGTCCTGGTAGGGGAGCCACGTTTGGAAGATGTTATTAACAAACCAGATCTTGTCCAGAAAGCCCTAGGCCAGTGGTCTGCAAACTCATTAGTCAACACAGCCAAATATCAACAGAACAACGATTTAAATTTCTTTTGAGAGCCAAATTTTTATTTTTATTTTTATTTAAAAAAATATATCTTATTGATTTTTTTACAGAGAGGAAGAGAGAGGGATAGAGAGCTAGAATCATTGATCAGCTGCATCCTGCACATCCCCACTGGGGATGTGCCTGCAACCAAGGCACATGCCCTTGACCGGAATGGAACTCAGAACCCTTCAGTCTGCAGGCCGACGCTCCATCTACTGAGCCAAACTGGTTTTGGTTGAGAGCCAAAATTTTTTTTAAAATATATTTTTTATTTTATTTTAAAAAATATATATATTTTATTGATTTTTTACAGAGAGGAAGGGAGAGAGATAGAGAGCTAGAAACGTCGATGAGAGAGAAACATCGACCAGCTGCTTCTTGCACATCCCCTACTGGGGATGTGCCCGCAACCAATGTACATGCCCTTGACCAGAATCGAACCCGGGACCTTTTAGTCCACAGACCGACGCTCTACCGCTGACCCAAACGGGTTTCGGCAAGAGAGAGAGCCAAATTTTTAAAACTTAAACTATATAGGTAGGTACATTGTTATTAACTTAATTAGGGTACTCCAAAGCTGGCCTTTGCTAAACATTCAAGGGGCCAAAGAGCCGCATGTGGCTCAAGAGCTGCAGTTTGCCAACCACTGCCCTTTAGGCAGACTGGTGAGGGCACTTAAAACCATGTCAGCGTGGAAAGGAACTCAGGAGAGGGCTGTCTTGGGGGAAAGAGACATGTTTTCCGCTTTGACTTCAAAGGCAAAACTGAACCAGTGGGTGGAGGTTCCATGGCCCCAAGTTTAACCTCTTAGGTGAGGGAGAACTTTCCAGCCAGTAGAGGAATCTCAGGTGAGCCCCCTGTGACTGGAGGCGTTCAGGAGAAAGGGTGGTTCCTTGCCAGGAACACTGCAGCCGAGAGCTGGACATCAGAGAAGGGGTGTGTGAGAAGACCTCAGGGTCTTCAGATCCTGGATGTGGTCCTTCTGTTGTGAAGGGATTGTCTCAGACCTGCCGCCAGGGGCTGGAAGGACAGAGAACAAGAAACACGTAGACATTTCCTCTTCTCCGTTTTAGACTGTTGTCTGTTGGCCCATTTTTACAGGCACAGTTGTGGTTGATATTCCTTTTTTTTTAGATTATGCACACACACGTGCACCTGCACACACACTCACACACACACACACACACACACACACACACACGCACAGTTGATTTCGCTGTCAAAAGCCTTTGAAGTGAGGTGGATGACAGCTCCCTGCCTCCCAGCCCCGCGGACACTCCGCTGCTAATGGACTGTCAGCCTCTTTCATTGCGGGCTCCAGGCGGTGCGGCTGGTGTAAGAGCAGTGCCTCTGGCGAGAACCTGGCACTCGGGGCTCAGCCAGTTGACATCTGTGATTTGCCCTTCTTCAAATCGCGACAGGCCTCCCACCGGGAGTGACTGAGCCCGGTGCCAAACAGGGTGTGGAGCGAGTGGGGCCGCCTGCCTGCAGAGGGGAGGGGGAGCGAGTCTGGGCTCTTCAGGAGGGGCCGCGACAGGTTCCTGGGGGGTTGGAAGGCTACAATTGGAAGACTCAGACCCCTTCCGTGCCCCTGACCTGCCTCCAGAATGTTCCGGGGAGGTGTGCAGGGCACAGGGAGGGTCTTGGTCACACGCTCCCATCCAGGTTTCCGGGGTAAAGGGAAGTTGGTCTGGGCCCTGCTGTGATGCTAACATGTCCATAGAGGCAGCCCTGGGTGCTGTGACTCTCAGCACCCCAAGCCTGAGCCCTGACAGGGGAGATGAGCATTGGAGGGAGGGGCGGTGCCACGGGCCCTGCTGGATGCTGCCCTGAGCCTTGGCATTGATTCTCTGCCCTCTGGTCTTCAAGATGAGGCCCCTCAGGCCCTCGCCCTCTGCCCTCCAGCTCCCCAGGAGGCCGGCTCTCCAGGGATCAGTAAGCCCACTTGTATAACCGGCCTCGGCTGGCTGGCTGGGCCAAGGTTTCAGGTAAAAGTCTGCCCATCCCTGACAACAGAGAGTGGTCACTTGCTCATCTACGATGACACGGGGAGCTCTACCCCAGGTCTCACTTCCACTCCTGTTCCCCCCATCTGCCTGTCTCCGCTTTTTCTTTTTTCTGCCTCTACTTTTTCTGCTTCTTGTATTTCTCACCGGGCCACTGACTCAGAGTGCCCGCCTCACCTGGGGGAGACGGAGAGCCCTCGCCACATTCAGGGGGAACAGCACCAGGAGGTGAGAGTGACACAGGTTTGGACACAGAAGGTTCGCTGTTTAGGTTCCGTGAGAGGGGGCTGTGCATGTTATCTACAGAATAAACACTGATAAACACAGTGCACTGAGGTTGGAGATAGGGTGCGGGACGGAGGTAACCAGGAAGGCTTCCAGGAAGAGGTGATGATGAGCGGCGATCAGGACTTTTTCTAGGAAGAGATGGCCAGAAGGGTGATTGTTTTCTTCAAAGCGGAGGTGCCGGTGGCCGGCGGCCTCCAATTCCCCCAGCTGGAGAAAAGCCCTGATGTCTGCCTGAAAACGTAGGTGTTTTTCTTAATTAATCTCTGGCTGCACAGGCAACCTCGGCGTTGAGGCACACCCCTGGCAAGGTCAAAGCCTGAAGAAGGAAGAACCCCGAGCCCTCCCGCTGAGAAACAAGCGGGAGGGATGGTGGGGCATTACATCAGCCAGGACTGCGATCCGTAATGGAGATGGATGGCTCTGGGGGCCCAGGCCCCGGGAAGCGTCCTGTGAGGGGAATGGGAAGACGGTCTCGGCGGTGGGCTGAGAATGCTAGGCGGGGAGGAGTTCCGATTCAGGGGAGATGCCAAGGGGGTCCAAGGTCAGTTCTGTCACCAATTGTGAGCAACGAGGGCCTTTCAGCTGCCCCTTTCCATGCCAAGGTCCCTGGCCTCCTGAGAGCTTGCTCTGGGCCATCTCTGCCCTGGGACTCAGGATAAGGCACGCGTCCGCCCTAAGGAATCACCCGGAGCTGTGCAGAGATCACCTGCCCATCATTACCCTGCTGCCACCCCCAGTGTCATAGCAGAGCTCAAAGGGCTGTGGGAGAAAGGCTTCTGGGAAGAGATGGCAGAGATGAATCTCTCCAGGCCCTATTGTTCC